TCTGAATTGATGATTACCATATGTATTCATGTATAAGCCGACTTCATGCATAGTGTGACCCCTGAATGTTTTTACATGAATTTTATCCTCTCCAGAAAAAATTACCTGTGTATAATGTGATCCCTTCTTTTTTCTGCATAAAAAAAAACTGATCATAACAACTTGCACTATACTCAAGCACAGATGGTCAATTTCAATTTTTTTTATTTGTACCCTCTTACTTCTTTGAATAATGACCTGTGTTGATATTTATAATTGTTATTGTAATATTTTGTTAATGTTATAAGCTCAAGTATTTAACAATTATTTTATAGTCATCAAACTTACAAGAAGTTTTTTTAGTCATTAACTTAAGAATTATAATTAATCAGAAAATTCAAATAAGACAACTGTGGAATTTTCAATATGTACTCTTCTGATTTCATTAGTAAATTAAATAATTTTGTTAATCACTGAAATAGCTTGTTGCAAAAAGGTATGTCTGTTTAGAGTAGCATTTGTACTGTTTTTTACAATCTCAACAGGTGAGACTACTACAAAACTCCACAAACAAAGCCCAATTGCCAAACTCATCAGTGTCTTCTACCCCTCTGCTGTTCTCACACTCATGCTCATTTTATTAGTGAATAGAAGATAAAAATCCTTGAGGAAGATAAAGTCTTTCTGAGTCAAAGTGACCTAGCAATAGTAATTCAAACAACTTATTCTAATCTTTGTTCTTTGTATTTCGAATGCTTTCATTTCCATATTTTACAGATATCAACTGACATCACACTTTTTATTTGAAGGAACCATTTAAAATCTTTTACAGATTATTATTCCTGTTATAAGAAATTAAAACTCCAGTTATGTTCCTGTCAGGATAAACGTCTGTGTTCTCAAGAAAAATGTCAGTAAAGTCAAATTAAGGAAGGAAATAATAAAGCTGGAACAATTGGATAATTTACACTAAAGTAAATAATTTTCAATTCATTTCCAAAATGAAATTGAAAGTTTGGAAATATTTTTTGTTTATGCAGTAAAAAAAAATTCTGAAGAATTTATTGTCCAGATGATGCCAATGTTTGTCACATGATAAATAATAGATAACTAACCTTGCAGATGGTGATAAATGTTTTGTACCCCACAAAAGATTTCCAAATACCTCTGGTATGTACTCTTCTAATTTCATTAGTAAATTAAATAATTTTGTTAATCACTTTGCAAAGGATTACATGGGACCACTCGCTGAAATAGCAAAAAGGTACGTTTGTTTAGAGTAGCATTTGTACCATCTTTTTACAATCTCAACAGGTGAGACTACTACAAAACTCCACAAACAAAGCCCAATCGCCAGACTCATCAGTGTCTTCTGCCTCTCTGGTGTTCTCACACTCATGCTCATTTTATCGAGTGGCTGAGGTTCAGAAATTTGCATAAGCCACAAATTCATCTTGCAAAATGTCTAATCTGTGTGTACACCATTCTGTGCAAATATGGAAAGAAATATGAAAAGGAAACAGGCTGTCCCCTTAAGGTAAGGCTTCAAGAACACCAGAAAGCTGTAACATGAGGGGAAGTGGAAAAATCAAGCGTGGCTGACCACATTGGGAGAGAGAAGGGAGATCACCGCCCTCGGTGGGATCAGGTTGAGATCATAGATGAAGAACATCATTGGAAAATTCGAAAACTTAAGGAATCAGCACATATGCTAGGCCACAAAAATCTCCTGAGCCGACCAAGCATAGAAATGAATACAATATGGGAACCAGTAATAAGGAGTGCCAGAGAAAAGCAATAATAACAATGAAAATTACAATATGAGCACTGGTAAAAATGGTTCCTGAATTAACAGGAGATAACTGATATTCATCAGACATGGCACGTGGAACTAGAACAGTCTACCCCAGTGAGTAAAATAAAGAGTTCAGTTCGACATTCCAACCACCTGAAGAAGGCCAGAGCATACAACGGCTGAAATGTTGTGATAAATATGGCAACAAAGATGAGGACAATAGTTCGAATAATGTAAATAGTGTACATAATACCTCATCTCAAATATATAGACAGATACTATGAGAAAAGGTTGTTCTTAAATTGTAGCTTTTGGATTGGTCACATTTTCACTTACGAGAACATTTTGTTCCAGGAGGTAAGCAGGTTTTCCTTCTACAAAACTTAGGAATAAAATTTGTACAACTATGAGAGAATAGTAATGAAGTAAGGTTTGAAATCCCAAATCAGAAATCTGGGGTCATAATTCCAAAGGCCATAAACCAAAAGTCCAAAGCCTAAACTATTGGGATGTAAACCAAAGGGGCATAAATTCTGTATTCACATCTCCAGACATAAACTGCCTTCTTCACCCACAAAGAATGTCAAATCCTGCTGTCATCTAAAGTAGCATTTTTTATTCCGATAAGAAAGTCTGTGAGTGGTCTGCAAGCATAAAAATGACCATTTTGATTCTCTTTTTTGACAAATAGCACAGAGAGCATAAATTATGTTCTGGGGTAAGACTTTGCTTTTTCCTTCATCATTACAACAACTCATCCGAAATTATTTAAAAAAATTTTATTTGGAGAATCAAGTACATCTCAACAATATCAGGTTTCCAGTTTGTGAGTTTGTCAAACTATGCCCATCATTTTTTTTATATATTGCTTCAAATTTTTAATGTTTTCATCCATTGTAGATATTCTGTGTAGAAAGAAGAAAATGTCATATTTCAATTAAAATTATTAAAAATGATGTTGATTGTTTTTATGAATTTTAGAAATGAGTTGAAGCATTTATCAGAATCTTTTATGTTGATTTGAAATTGGTGTTAATAAAATATGATAGAAAAAATTCAAACTAAAATTTAGTGTTAATAAAATTCATCAGTAAACAGAGTGTACAATGGCTGAAATGTTGTGAATATAGCAATAAAGCTGAGAACAACAGTCCAAACAATGTAAACAGTGTAAATAGTTTCAATTCCTCATCTCAGAAATACACATTCTGTCTACTTATTCAAACTATTCAAAAACCCATATATATGAGGAGGCACGGTGGAGTAATGGATAGTGGCTTGGATTGAGAAATCAGAGAGCCGAGTTCAAATTCCAGTCAAATCCATTACATTCACTTACATGCTAATACCCTTGGGAAAGGTGTGAATTCTCTTCTTCTCCCTCCAGCTATGGGTAAAATAGCAGGACAGACTGGGTTCTATAGCCTTGGATGGCAACTGGTCTAGGAGAAGGACCACTCTGAATTCAAAACCTGCGGAGGGTCGTTTGGGGACCTTGTGGCACTTAGTGCACCAGGTCTCTGAATTCGGCCCTTCAAAAAGTGTGGATGGTCTTGCACGAAACCTTCACCACTATAATCAAATCTCATGTGCTGGCGTCGGGCTGTCAGTTTCCTGGGAACTGATCTGCTTGACCCTCATACGTCGAATTTGACGGGAGAGTTGAGTAAATATATATATTCTAAATTTACAGTTCCAAGCAAAAGTTTACAACACATTACAAAAAATGTTTCTAACACAAATTAATGAAAATTTAACTGCTAATAATACATATGTTTAAGCTTTTGGTCAAACAATCATTTAGAAAATAATCAATAAAAATATCCCATGAATAAAAACAATATTTAATAATGCAAAAATTTATAATACATTTATTAAATCATCTATTAATATTTTGTAGCATAACCGTTATTGCTAATTACAGCATGTAAGTGTTTAGTGTAGTCACCTACAAATTTCTTGCATGTTTCTTGTCTAATATTTTCCATTCTTCATGACAAAATTCCTAAAATACAGGTTTTGCATGTTCCTTCTTTGAATTCTCAGTTTCAGCTCTCTCCATAAATTTTCAATCGGATTGAGAACCAGAGATTGACTTGGCCATTTTAGAATATCTATTCTATTGAAACTTAACCATGATTTTTTATGTTTTGTATGATGTTTATTATCGTTGTCTTGTTGAAAGACCCAACCTGGTTTCAAGTCCAGTAAATGTGCACTGACATAAATTTATCTCCAAAATATCCCTATAATATGCTCCATTCATCCTCCCTTCTATTATTTCAATGTTCCCTAGACATTGGGCACTAAAGAAACCACAGATCATGATTGATCTGCCTCCATATTTTACTGCTGGGATAGTATTCTTCGGTGAATATTCAGTCCCCTTCTTTCTGCAGAACTTTGCCAGAACATTTTTGCCAAAAAGTTCAATTTTCATTTTGTCTGACCAAAGTACATTTTCCCAAAATGCTGCAGGTTTGATACAATGCTCATTTGCAAAATCCAGTCTAGCAAGAACGTGTTTTTGCTTAAGAAATGGTCTTTTCCTTGGAGTCCTTGAAAAGATGTCATATCAACAAAGTGAACGACTAATTGTATCCGTACTCACTTTTGCTCCAATTACTTCTAGTCTTCTCTAAAGATCTCGGGGCTCATTGCTAACTTTTCTCACCAATAATCTTGCCATAGGTTCTGTTACTTTTCTAGGATGATCAGAGCTTTTGGGGGGGATGAATGGAACGACATGTCTTCCAGTGATGAACTATCGTACCAACTGAACTCAATGGTAAATTGAACTGACTAGATATCTTCCTATAACCAAGTTCATTTGTATGAAGGTCAACAATACATTTATGGAGGTCTTGATCAATTAATTTTGCTTTTCCCCATTTTGTCAATGTTTAAAGGATGGTTGACAGAAAAAGAATGATGAAATACTTTTAATCATTCCTAAAAGTAATCTGGAATATTCTAAAAACAATCCCATCCTAATTTTGAACATTCTAGTAAAATTTAAACACTTTTATAGGAAAAAAATGTTGTAAACTTTTGAGTTACTAAATATTGGTTTTTCTTCATGGGATACATTTTTGGAGCTTTTTAAAAATCTGATTGTTTGACTGATTACCTAAATATATATTCTACGAGCAATAAAAGTTTAATTAATGTAACTGCATTAGAGATGCATAAAAAACATTTTTTGTAATGTATTGTAAACTTTTGCATGGCACTCTATCTATCTATCTATCTATCTATCTATCTATCTATCTATCTATCTACTGAAATGCACCGAAATGAAGTTATATCTTTGTAGTGAATAAAATGTTTTTGTCTATATGATCAATTTATAATAAATAATTATTGCCCTATTATTGGTATTGAGCCCTCTTTTGAATTAATTCTGTGAACATTAGAATTTATATATTACTTTCATTCTCATTGCATCAGATATCTATCTATCTATATCTTAGTCTCTTAATATCTATCTATCAGTATGTTAATATCTATTTCTTAATCCGTTACTATCTATCTATCAATTTTTTAATATCTATCTATTTATCTATCTATCTATCCCTTAATTTGTTCATATCTATCTATCTACCAGTCTATCTATCTATCCCTTAATTTGTTCATATCTATCTATCTATCTCTTAATTTGTTCATATCTATCTACCAGTCTATCTATCTATCTATCTATCTATCTATCTATCTATCTATCTATCTATCTCTTAATTTGTTAATATCTATCTATCTATCTATCTATCTATCTATCTATCTATCTATCTATCTATCTATCTGTCTGTCTGTCTGTATCTTAGTCTGTTAATATCTATCTATCTATCTATAATGCCACCCAAAAGTTTACAACACATTGCAAAAAAATGTTTCTTTAGGTATTTTTAACACAGATTAATGAAACTTTTACTGCTAATAATACATTTCTGTATCCAATCTTAATCTCTTTCTCAGTATGTTCATCTATCTATCTATCTATCTATCTATCTATCTATCTATCTATCTATCTATCTATCCCTGTCTGTTAGTTATCTATCTATCTATCTATCTATCTATCTATCTATCTATCTATCTATCTATCCCTGTCAGTTAGTTATCTATCTATCTATCTATCTATCTATCTATCTATCTATCTATCTATCTATCTATCTATCCCTGTCTGTTAGTTATCTATCTATCTATCTATCTATCTATCTATCTATCTATCTATCTATCTCTGTCTGTTAGTTATCTATCTATCTATCTATCTATCTATCTAAGGCATGGCACTGTATGTAGAAAAGTGGTTACAATGTTATTATTCTAACTATAACAGACATATGATTGATTTGTCAACAAGATGACTTATAAATGACATTGGCATTAATTCAAAGTGAATACAGACTGCCTCAACCAGAATCTGAACTTGGCTTACTGGTTCCATTTTCAATGCTGATAACCATTATGTCACAGTATTCCTTCAATGAGTAAAGGGGATCACAAATCCAGCCTTCACTTCTCACCAGCAGAAACGCACATTTGTCCATCAAACTCAGAAAAAATTGTACTGCTGGTAAGCAAAAAAACAATGGCTTTTATTCACCATTTTTCTGATTGGCCACACCATTCAGAGAGGAAAGAACATTAGCAAAGATTATGATACTTAAATGAGCAGATTTTTGCTAACTACTTTTTCTTTAATCCTCTTTCAGCAGATTACACACAAAACATGAAATCTTTTTCGAGGTAGGTGATTCTCTCTTTCACTACAGAGCTCCAGGTAAATAACAGGGCACCAGACCATATATGGCAGCAATACTCTAAGCATGGGTGAATGGTAGACTTATAGATATGAAAGACAGATTCTGGAGAGAAAAATTCTCACCTGACACAGTGTAATGACTTTCTTAGCAGCTGATCTAGCAATGCATTCAATACAGTCTTTCTATCTCATGTCAGCTGAGAACGTTAGCCTGAGAAGACACAATAAGTCACCTCCTTGGAGGATAAGTGAATATAATGTATCAAATTGGAATCTGTCTCTCTAACAGTTCAAAGACATTCTCCATTGGGAACATTTTTATGTAATACTGGTAGTAGTAGTAGTAGTAGTAGTAGTAGTAATGGGGAGACATAGCTTAGATTCTTTAAGTATGGATTTTATATAAATCTGAACATTCAAACTTATAGCACTTGGAATTCCCAAGCAGTCACCTGTTTATGTAGTGATCAGGCTTGACATATCCACTTGTTGAGCCTGGTGGATTCATACCTTTTCCAAGAGGTATGTGTGTAAGTGAATATAATGAATCCAACTGGAATTGAAACTCAGCTCTCTGATTAACAATTCAAAGCAATTATCCATGTGGGTACACATTCAAACTTACAGCACCTAATATTCTCAAGCAGTCACCCATATTGGTACTGACCAGGCTTGATGTTGCTTAACTTCTCTGATCATACAGAACCTGGTGTTTCAGTGTGTATATACAGGCAGATATATTTAAGCATGATGCTATCTGCCTGGTGCCTCATGGCATTATAAGGTCTCTGGTGAGGTTTCTGCAATTAAATTGTTCTACAGGATGAGGTTATTGGCCCTGCACGCAACATCTGCACATTGAGGAAAAGTTGGTTTTCTTTCTCTTAGAAGACCATGTGTTCCCTTGCTAACAAGTTACATCTACCCAGGTTTTCTTTGTCCTAGACTGGTTGCCAACAAAGGCTATAAATTTGGACTTGGCTTACTGATTGCTCATCGTGAGCCACTAACCATTGCCCTACCCAGACAGCCACAGAAATTGATATCAAATTAGCACATCTGCAAGTTTGGGATGGTTATTGCAGTGAACAGATCAGGGATCTTCTATATGGTTGGAGATTTCATTGTCAATAATTGATAAGCCTGAAAACTTAAGTTATTCACAATCTTAATTTTCTGTTCTGTTGTATACAGCAGCCCTTAATCTGTAATAGCCAAATTTTCAGTAACATTCAAGATCCTTTTAGCTTTTGCCCTAGCAGGACATGACATCACAACTGTAAAATAGAAAAACACTTTTATTCAGTTACTGGTGTTATAGACAAGCGTATGGTTGCAAGAAAGAAATATGACAACAGCAGATAATAGATGTACGTTGTTTATTTCAACAGGAATGTGTGGGTTTGGGACAGCTACCTTGTGGTAAAGTTCATAAGCCGGCTTTTGGATCTAGGTCGATCTCTCATAGTAGTTCACACATGTTGACGGTGGTTGATGCTCCCCTGCTGCTGATTGCTCGGCCTGATCGTCAGGTCTGTTCACTGGCCACCTGTGGACTGACTATTGAACTTCCATGTGATCCCTTTTATAGCGTTTTTTTTTATGGCTTAACAGGCTCGAGAAACGAAGCGAGTATAATTAGGAGGGAAGCATTTTTATTGGACGAAAAATAGAGCACTTTAAATATTATTTTATTTTTCGACCAGAACACGTGTGTCGGGAACATTTGTAAAGAAAGATAATGGTCATTTTATAACGGGGCTTTGTCCCGTTTACATCCGGTTCTCGCTCTTGAGTATTTGCCTGTAAATCAGCCGAGATATGTCTTATTTTATTTTATAACACTGGTAATGGTAATATTAGCTGCTTCCCTGTAAGGAAACATTTGCCATTCATTGACCAAGTAGCCAGTATTGTATTCCGTTGAAATTTATAAAATCTTTCTCTTAAAACACTTTTTTAGGAAAACAGCTTTCTCAAGTCCAGTAGCTGTTATTGCTCTTTCCATTACTGTTGAGGGTTTCCTTCCAAACCTTCTGCATAAAGTGGTGGGGAACACTAACATCTTGATTGTCATCATTTTCTCTTCAAGTTACATGTGCTATCCATTTTAGTTGTTGCTGCTGTTGGTAGTCCTCAAGTGATATGGTTTCTGCCATTTGGTACAGTTCTTTGTGATTCTGTAGTGCCAATCCACAATGTTCAAAGAAGGATACTTTTTGCCAAAGCCTTGGAGTTACTCACTACAGGAAAAAAATTTGCTTGGCAAACAAAGATGCCTACAGGGTTTAAAGCTTAAATCATCTGTTCTGGTTTCACTTTTCAGAAAGGTAATTTTGTCATCAAATAATTGATGGGCTACCATACAACTGTTCATACATATGTATATATTTATATGTGGAATCAGTGTAGTGATTGGAACCATGAATATTCAAATGTATTAACTTTTGGTCTCAAAGTTTAAAAGGAGAAATCGTGTCTTGTGGAAGTCAGACATCATCACCATGTCCAAGGGAGATTTAGTATTAACAATGCCAGCAGCCAAATAAGGCCAAAGCAGTCAGTGTGAAATTGAGTTCACAACTTGCCATATCTTCACACCTCCTCAGCCTAAATGCTGGGCACATGTCAAGCGTGTGAAGATTGTGTGAAAAGTCAGCTATTCCAATCTTTGACATCACTTCACCCTCAAGTACTCCGAAGCTTTAAACAAGATAATTATAGACTGTTGATTGTTTCCCATCAGAAATCCTCACGTCTTAAAGGATGGATTCACTGCATTTTCCTGCGTTGTACAGAAGAGTCTGGTCAGCTTTGATTTTGTCATCATTTTCCAATATTTTCATTTTCTTTCTTCTTTTAATCTTTTTTTCTTTTCTGTTATCTAACATTCTCTCACTAAGTGTTTCTTTTGTTCTTTCATTCTTGTTCCTTTTTCTTTTTTTTTCTTTCTTGTTCTTTCTTTTTCTTCTTTTTTATCCTTTCTTTTTTATTCTTTCTTTTTAGTTCTTTCTTTCTTTCTTTTTCTTTCTTGTTCTTTCTTTTTCTTCTTTTTTATTCTTTCTTTTTTATCCTGTCTTTCTTTTTGTTTTTTTTTTTTTTTTCTTTTTTTTTTCTTTCTTGTTCTTTTTTTTTATCCTTTCTTTTTTATTCTTTTTTTTTTCTTTTCTTTCTTGTTTTTTTTTTTTTTTTTCTTTTTCTTTTTTATCCTGTCTTTCTTTTTATTTTTTTTTAGTTTTTCTTTCTTTTTTTTATTCTTTTTTTTTTATCCTTTTATTCTTCTTTTTAGTTCTTTTTTTTCTTTTTTTTTCTTTCTTTTTTTTTTATTCTTTTTTTTCATTTGTTCTTTTTTTTTTCTTTTTTTTTTCTTTTCTTTTTTTTTTTTTTTTTCTTTTTTATTTTTTTTTTTTTCTTTTTGTTCTTTCTTTCTTGTTCTTTCTTTTTCTTCTTTTTTATTCTTTCTTTTTTATCCTGTCTTTCTTTTTTGTTCTTTCTTTTTAGTTCTTTCTTTCTTTCTTTTTTTTTCTTCTTTTTTATCCTTTCTTTTTTATTCTTTTTTTAATCTTTCTTTTTCTTTCTTGTCTTTTTAGTTTTTCTTTTTTTTGTCTTTCTTTTTTATTTTTCTTTTTAGTTCTTTCTTTTTTCTTTTCTTTCTTGTTTTTCTTTTTTCTTCTTTTTTTCTTTTTTTGTTCTTTTTTTATTTCTTTTATGTCCTTTCTTTTTCTTTCTTTTCTTCTTTTTCTTTTTCTTTTTTATCCGTCTTTCTTTTTTGTTGCATTTTTCTTTCTTTTTTTTTTCTTTTTTTTCTTTTTTTTTCTTTCTTTTGTTCTTTCTTCCTTTTTTTCTTTCTTTTCTTTTTTGTAGGTCTTTTTATTCTTTTCTTTTAATCCTGTCTTTTTTTCTTTTTTTTGTTCTTTTTTTTTCCTTATTCTTTCTTTCTTTTTTTTTTTTTTCTTTTTTTTTTGTGGATCCTTTCTCTCTTATTGAATTTTTTTTTTTTTTCATAATAATCCATTTCTATCTTTTCTTACTCTCTAATTTTTCCTATGTCTTTAAAATTTTCATTTCTTTCTTTTCATTGGATCCTTCATTGATTTTTCTCTTTCTCTCCATTTCTATCTTTCATTTACCATGATAAAATTTTCATTTCTTCTTTTCATTATTCTCCAATATTTCTTTCTTTTCCTTCTCTCTTACATTTTTCTTTCTTCATTTTTCTTTTATCTTTTCTTTTCTCCATCTTCTTTTGTTCTTCTTTCTTTTCTTTTTTTTCTTTCATCTTTTTTTCTATTTATCTTTCATGTGTATTTACTTTTACCTCTGTTTCTCTTTCTGATTGCTTGATTTGTTTTTTTACGGCTTATCAACCTGGTTATTTAAAATCAGAAAATATTTTAGATTGTCATTTTCTTCTTTTTTGAGATAATAAAGGTTGAATGATACAAATCTTACTAATTAACCCATAGCTGTGGGGAGAAGATGTTGTTTCATATCTATCCTAAGGATATTTGTGCATAAGTGAATGCAATGAAACCAACTGGAATTGCACCTTGGCTCTCTGATTAACACATTTTTGTGTAACAGCTGTAGTAGTAGTAGTGGGTCGTTTAAGTATGGATTTTATAAAAATCCCCAACTCAATATACAGTCAACTACCAAACAAATAAAATGCCTATGAATCATACACACACACACACACACACATTATCATACAAATCCCGCATAGACAATTTAGAATTATAATACACTTACATAAATTATACACATGAAAGCTTCTTGGCAAATACACATGAAGTCTTCTTAACCAAAAGTTTAACCAATGTAGGTTTTTTCTCAAAAGGGAGCTGTATGTTTAGCCCCTGTCATACAGCACATTTTCTTCATTAATATTTTTCAAATGCACAGGAGGATAGACATAATACACACTGTTTAGAATAAAAATGGAATGTCTGTTTCAAACTCATGTATTCACTAAAAACATTTGAAGTAATATACATATATATAAGTAGACCGATTAAATAGGTCAATGTCTGATCCTTCCCCCTCTTTCCTCAATATTAAATATTTTAATAAAAAGAAATATAAAGATAAATTTTAAACTCTCCCTTCCCTCTCTAATTTCAACCATGTCTCTCCCTCCATTACTCATCACCTTCTAATTCAACTTATATAAGCTTAATACTGCCTGTCAAAAGTGTAAATTTTAAATTCATTTTTTCGTTTCATCTTTGAAAGTCTGAGGATTCAGAGAAAAAGTAAAATTCTCTGGTGAAATAAATTATTACTATGGAGCCTTAAAGTGGTCTGTTTTTCTTTTAAATTATATATATATATATATATATATACATATATAAAGTTAATGGTCAGAATTGAATTAGACCAGGAAACAGTAACATTAAAAATTATATATTTTATATATATATATATATATATATATATTGTTAAATATAACAGAAAATGAATGTCTATTATATTTGATCATGAGCTATTCTAAACTTATATTTGCTTTAATTTTGGGAGAAAATAAAAGACAAAAATTGTCCAACATTTGGATATTGTTTTTTATTATACTGTTCCTTGATCTAAGGTTTCAGCTCACATGAGCCATCTTCAGAGTGGTTATATGGACATTTAAACAAAGATAACGGAATATCATTTTTGATGGTGAATATCTTTGTTTAAAGAGCACTGGTCGATTACATTCACCCGTGAAAGTCTGGTGTGCCCATGAGTCGTGTTGACCTTTCTGACTGAAGGGTTGACTTTAAAAGCTTTTCACAGAATAAGGTCTGTTGTTTGGCAACTGGAAGACCAGTTAGCCCCCATGGTTGGTATTTTCTAGTGTTGCTTAAAATTCCTTTTCTTTCTTATTTTCTTAAATTAAGTTTTATTTTTATTTTTAAAAGAACATAATATTAATTTGCACTGAAATTTTCTACATATCACCCATTACATAAAAACACCAATAAAAAAAACATTGTTTTAACTTAATATAAAAATATCAAAAATGAAAAAATCAGCAGACAATATTGCCACAAGATATTCAACAAACACAGTAAAAATCAGCTGCAGTTGCACCAAGAAAATGACACAAACTGCTGAGCAAAGAATGAATGTCCCTTAAACAGCAATTGTTTGCAGAACAATGTAATATACCAAGTCACTGTAAAATCAGCAGATAACAAAGAAAAAATATAAATAGAAGTAACTGAAGGACACCAGAAACAAAGAAACTATGTACAGAAAGCATCATTTACAAATAGTAAATGTATGAACAGCACAATGCTTTCTAAACATATCTGTGATCTTAAAAATAAAAACCTAATCATACTAAAAATATCATGGAGAATACGGAAAACTGTATCAATTTACAACAATAAGTCCAAAAACTGTAAACTCTGTCTGGAGGAGAAAATAGCCATAATTAACTTCCCAGACAAATAAATTACTAAATAAATGATCAGATCTCATCTCAAAATACAGACATAAAAACAAATTTTTACTATGTTATTTAAAAATTGAAAACTATAATGAATAAAAATAAATAACAAGATAAAATAAATTAATCCAAACCAATAATCAAGTAAATAATAAACAAATTAACAAACTATGAATACATGCATAAACACAAGTAAATGTTATAATAACAACAGACAACAAATAATAAAATAATCAATAATAAATAATGAATTAAAAAGTTAACAAACAACACAATAGTCACATAACAGTATCCTGATCCACAATTATTTCCACTGAATAGCCCATAAAATAATTTGAAACATAATTGCTAGTGGCCACCCAAATAACTGTTAGAATAATACAACAGACCTACCTATAATGCACCACTGGCCAGCATATATAAATAGTTGAGCTAAAACACAGTACACATGGCCTGATGATTGAGTTTAGGCATGAAACACTGTTGCTGCTGAGTGTTGACTTCAACATCGACATAAATATAATTTTCTCCCATTTACTTTATATGATATTGAAAATAGAAAGAGCAGTATTTTGAGTTTATGCATTAATTTTGCCGGTTTTATAGTTTGGGAAATTTCATAAATTTAAAAAAAATTCAACTCCTTTTACCTTTTTGCCATCCTTTCTGTTTCTACCAATAACTCACCAAACCTACTAATACCTCCCCAAACATTGTGTGCATGTACCATGTGAGTTTTATAGCCATTTCTTCTCATTATGCACAGTTGGATGAATCCCAAGCTAAGGATGATGAGGATGTTGGTCATCTGATTTTCTCTCAAGTGGTGTTTATTCAAGCATAATGTCATTGCACAGATATGGATCTAATGACCCAGAGATCTGATTAGCTGACTGGCTCAGTAAGCAAAGACAAAGAGCGAACAGAAAGAAAGAGAAGAAGAATTAACTAGAAGGAGAAGAGGAAAGAAAGAAAGAAACCATGAGAAGGGTAGAATGAGTGCAAGAGAAGGAGATTGACACACTGTGTCAAGGAGATAAAGTGGTTGAAAAACCGATGTTGAAAAGGAGAGCATGGGAAAGTAAAAAGAAAAAGAAAGAAAGAATAATCAAAGAGAAAAGACCAGGAGTAAAAAAGAGTAAAATGGAATGGAGATGAGAAAGAACATCTGAAGTGAAAGAGAATTAGAAAAGAAAATAATAAAGAAAGGAGAGAGAAAACAGAAAAAATTGAACCAGAAAAATGATGACAGTTACATAACAAGAGAGACTATATGTAATTAACATATACCAAAGTGCATTCATCCACCCACCGACACATTTAGAGGAGGGAAGAATCGAAACTAGTTGTGTACTTTCATGAAGGGTGGCAATATATAATAAAATATCACAAACGGTAAAAAGCCATAAAATATCGAAAAACGTTAAAACCTGAACCCCATCCCCAGTTCTAACCAATCTTTTGGTCTTTGAGGGAATCATCAGCTGCCAACCAGCCTGCAGTTTTGAGAATTTCAAAGCAAAACTGTGATTTGTAACAAACATGGCTCCACAGCACAACATTCCTTCAGATTTGTTAAGCAACAGAATAATTGAATGGAAAGAAATTATTGAAATATATTAATATTAAGAATGTAAATTGAAAATGAGAATTAACAGAGGAAGAGAGAGAGTGACTGGAAGAGAAAAAGGAAATAGAAAAAGAATCAATATAGAAAAAGTGAGAGAGAAAGAAAGAGAAAAAGAATCAATATAGAAAAAGTGAGAGAGAAAGAAAGAGAAAAAGAATCAATAGAAAAGTGAGAGAAAAAGAAAGAAAAAGAATCAATATAGAAAAGGAGAGAGAAAGAAAGAGAAAAAGAATCAATATAGAAAAAGGAGAAAAGAATATGGAAAGAGAAAAACAAAAATATAGAAAAGTAAGAGAAAGAAAGAAAAAGAATATAGAAAAAGTGAGAGAGAAAGAAAGAGAAAAAGAATCAATATAGAAAAAGTGAGAGAGAAAGAAAGAGAAAAAGAATATAGAAAAAGTGAGAAAGAAAGAGAAAAAGAATCAATATAGAAAAAGTGAGAGAGAAAGAAAGAGAAAAAGAATCAATATAGAAAAAGTGAGAGAGAAAGAAAGAGAAAAAGAATCAATATAGAAAAAGTGAGAAAGAAAGAAAGAGAAAAAGAATCAATATAGAAAAAGTGAGAAAAAAAAGAAAAAGAATCAATATTAGAGAGAAAGAAAGAGAAAAGAATCAATATAAAAAATGTGAGAGAGAAAGAAAAAGAAAAAGAATCAATATAGAAAAAGTGAGAAAGAAAAAGAAAAGAAGAGAGTTTTGTAGACGTAAATGAAAGGAACTGTTGTGTCAGACACTTACCACCCCTCTTGAAGATGAACTTGTCTGTGAACAAAGACTTTAAATAGTGGCATGTCAGTTGACATGGGGAAAGACAGATAGACTGAGAAGTTCTTAGCTGAGCTAGTTATTGACTACTCAGGTGATTTCTGTACCTTTTTACCAACCTATTAAAACCCTTTTTATTGTTACGTGTTATTTGGCGTTTGTCTCTACTAACCCTAAATCAACATCATAACAGGAACAGATTCTGAAAAAATTTGGATGTTTGAAATCTGAGTTGTGAGTGAAAAAGAGCAGAAAAAAGTGGATGAAAATCAAGAAAAGAGAGATATAGTCAGAGAGAGAGAGAGGGGAGAGAAATAGAGATTGAAAGTAAGTAGGAATGTTGAGAGAGAGAGAGAGAGAGAGAGAGAGAAAGCTATTAGTGAGATAATGAAAAAGAAAAAGAAAGAAAAAAGATAAAAAGGAGGCAGTAATAGAAAGAGAGAATGAGAAAGAATGAAAGAAGAAGAGAGTGAGAAGATGGCGTAATGATAACCAACATAGAAAATGGAATCTGCAAATTAGGTTTCAATCCTGCTCAAAACTTTTTCTCTCAATTTCACTGGCACATCTATAAGAAATACATGAATCCCTAATCTTGTCACTGACATATCACGATCTGTAACAAGCTCTGGAATTTTTAATGTTCTTTATAATGTGTAACTGGTACACCTTGCTGCATAGAATTAGGTGAAAAGATCTATTTTTAGTAACACTTTTCAGTTTTCCTCCTCAGGCCAAAGTATGGATGATGGTCGGCGTTGTGGCTATACAGATGACATAAGTATTCATTGTTAGATTAAGAATGATCTTGTGAAAAAGTCAATGTCATTTACCAAGTGTTCCATGAAATAGGATTCAAGATAAACATTTCCAAGAGAGAAACTATGATCTGGAATTGGAATGAAAGCAATGAAGGCATCCACCCTGAATCCATCATAGAAATTCAGGATGTGGAATTAGTAAATAGTAAACCCATTAAATACCTGGATCAGTTAAAATTTAGTGAAGGAGAAAAAGAAATTGAACATGGAACAGGCTGTTCCAGAGGTAGTTTTGCCCAATACCACCAATTGCCACATAACCAAAACATTAACCTGAAAACTAGAGTCATGTTCTTAAATAACCTCGTCAGAGCAAGACATTCATATGGATGTCATGTATGGTGCCAAGCTCACTAAGAAATATCTAAATTGTCAGCTGTTTACAACCAGAATAATGGTTAAAAATGGCTTTGACTGTATGATGACTGTAGGTCTTAGTGAGAGCCATCCTCCTTCAAACCTCTTGGACTGGTGCTACAGAATCACAAAGAACTATACCAAATAACAAAAACCACATTACTTGAGGATTATTATTAGCTGAAAGGGATAGCAATTTTGACGAGAAGAGAAAAGATAAAATAATGACATAATCAAGATGTTGACATTCCACACCACTTCAAATAAAAGGTTAGAAAGGAAACCCCCATCAATACTGGAAAGAGCAATAACAGCTACTGGACTTGAGAAACCTGTTTTCCTAAAAAAAGAAGTGTTTTAAGAGAAAGATTTTATAAATTTCAACCAAAAACAATACTGGCTGCTCAGTCAGTTAATGCCAAATATTTCCTTATAGGGAAATATAAATAAATAGTCAGTAAATAAACTGATTTTCAATGTATTAAAAATTCATAAAAAATCAAAATGAAAAATTAACAAATTCTAAAGATTGCAAATACATTGGTGTATTGATCGGTTCTAACAAATTTAGTACGAATGATAAAGAAATTGACTACAAATTAGGCATCATGAGGTGTAGTTTCACACAATACCGTAAGGTGCTACAAAACCTAAACATTAACATATGAACTTGAGTCATGATCTTAAATAGCCTTGTTAGATCAAGACTTTTATGTAGTTGTCATGCCTGGGGCCAAACTCATTCAGAAATGCCTTAACTGTCAGTTGTATACAACCACTTTCTCAGATCAATGGCTAAAAATGACCTCTCAGAAAATGAATCCTCTTCATCTGAGGAAGAATCATCCTTCTTTAAAGCTCTTGGACTGGTGCTACAGAATCACAAAGAACTGGACCAAATAACAGAAACCTCATCATTTGAGGATTTTCAATAATAGCAACGACTAAAATGTCAAGTTGAGTATAATGATATAATCAATATGTGGACATTCCACACTATTTCAAACAAAAGGTTAGGAAGGAAACCCATGTCACTAGTGGAAAGAACAATAACATTTAATAGACATCAGAAAGTACCGTATTTTCTGGTTTACAAGACACTGCAGTTTTGGAAGATTCACCCTAAATATTGGAAAGAAATTTTTAAGAAAAAACATCATTCTCATACAACACATTCACCATGCATCCCTCACATACTGGCACCACGTATTGTTCATATTAATTATTCATCTGATTTTGTTTGTATGCCAATGACATACTAGTCAAGAGCAGAAAACCTCCCACAGCTGCTAGTAAACAGAGCAGGTTTAAGCTTGCAGCTCGGCTCCAGAAAGGTTTATAGTCTTGGAAATACTTGTAACAGCTAAGTACTGAAGTTATATGATATAAAAGACTGAATTAGATAGCTAACATTATTCTGTAATGACTCAACATACAAATCCATGTCTCTATCAGTCAAGCCAATTAGGTGATCGTCCAAGCTTACTTGAGCCTGTTCGTTGCCTTACATTCCTCTTGGTAAAAAAGTGAGTCTTGTAAGCCGGAAAATATGCTAATTTTCCTGAAAAATTGTTTAAATGGAAAGATATTATAAATTTCAATGCAGCACTGATGTTTTCTCATCTTTTCTCAGTCTCAGTAACTTCTTGCATCTTAGTGGCTTTATCACCTTGCTTGGGGTGATATGATTAAAAAAAATAAAAAAAGACAGACACAGATAATTAATTTACCATGCTTAATGAAATGTTATGATGGATAAACTTAATCCAGTCTACCTTGAAGACTCCATCTGGTCATAGAACAAATACAAATGGCAGATATTAACTTCAGAGAAGAAACAGAAATCCAAAATGTCTATGGTTAATAGATTTTAATAATTCTTATATAGTATCTATAAGTTTCTAACATGAGACTTTTTAACATCTGTCTATATTTCTGAAATGTGGTATTGTATTTACCCTATTTACATTGTTCAGACTGTTGTCCTCATCTTTATTGCCATATTCAGGATGTTTTGGCCATTGTATGCTTCAGATTTTTTCAGGTGATATACGTTAGAATTTCAAACCGAACTTTTCATTTCATCCAGTGGAGTAGATTGTTCTAGTTCCACATGCCATGCCTTTTCTGGATATCTCTGCTTCAGTTATTTACCATTAGTAACTCAACCTGGTATTGAGCCCACAACTATTTGGGTCAAGTCTCTGGATTACTTCAACCAACACTTTTACTTATTGGGGCCATGGTTCAGAATTCCAATGTATATCACCTGAAGAAGGCCAGAAAATACAAATGCTGAAACATCATGAATATGAGAATAAAGATGAGGACAACAATCCAAACAATGTAATTAGTGCAAATGAAACTTTTTGTTGGTTCTGCCTTTTCTTTCATAGATCAAACAAAATGTATCTAATTGTGCTTGTAAAATCTAACAAAATATACACAGGCTTTTATTATTGCAGTCAAATGCGCATAACACAGAAAAGAATAACATCTCTTGATTCAGTGCTGCCAAAGAATTTTTTTATTTATCATAAGCAAAAGGTATTGATTTCCAACCAACATCAATAGGTTTCTTTTTCTTATTTGCTATTAATTATTTTTTGTGATTCAGATAACTAATCAGTGGATATTTTACAAGCATTAATTTGCTCTTATCTTATTTCGGTCTCTTTCATCTTGCCTTTGATGTTTTGAATCTAAGAGTTATTGCCCTTGATTTTCAATGAACATTATGCAAAAAATGTGATCTTTTAACAAAGAGAAAAATCAGTAAAATTCTTTACTTCCATGACTTTTATAAATAAATATCTTGTCAAGTTGAAAAAAAAAGTTTTTGAATTCAATGTTGTCACTTCTTTTGGATAGAAGAATTTGTTTGGCTTATCTGACAGATTTTTTAAAATCTGTCTCCTTCATATCAACATTATCAAATAAGTTAATGTGTATCACGAAGCAGTTAAAGATATCACCATAGAATCCAAATCTCATTTGATAACACAGTTGAATACAAAAATTTTTTAACCACATCTTCAAATTTTTAATCACTCTTTATGATTACAGGGTTTTAGGAATGAGGTGATGGTTAACGAACTTGTGTGGTGAGCATTTCTATTCAATAGTGAGATTGATTCTCATTGGATGTCCAGTAATTATAAATGACTTTGATATTAAATAATCCAAGAGTGGATATGCCATAAAATTCACCAACTAATCAATCTTTATAAAACAGAATTACTGCATTTGCCAGCCTTATTAGATGCATCCATGCATTGGACACACCCAGATTTTGGCATGGAATATTTAGGAAAAAATGCACACATCACAACCCCCCCCCCCAAAAAAAAATTATAACCTTACCTTTATGTGATATTGTCACTAACCATGAAGAAGCACTTACAGTATAAACACAAATTATACGACTGATACTTTTTATAGAAATGAGGTAAGGTTTAATTACCAGGATATTTTTTGGAAAAAAAGAATTTTAGGACATTTCATCATGCATTTATTGAAAATTGTTTTAGTTATTTTTCAGGAAGCAACATCTGCACATACAGTAAATTCATAACTTCAAAGAAATCTCTTGGTATCAGTAAACATTGGTACATATGGTAATAAGCCAAAAAACAGAAATATGGTACTTGTTGATAAGTCCTATTGCATACATGCAGAAAAGGAAATTCAAATTCCTGTATATCAACAAAACCACAGTCAAAACAAATATTTCTTATAAAATCTGATATTTCTACAAAACAAACACCAAAATATTGTGCAATTCCATAATTTTTTATTTTCCTGTGTGAATTTTTCAGGGATATTTTTGATTGATATCATGTTTGGTCACTTCCAAGAATCCTAGTCTCAGAGTAAAGCTCTATGTGATTCCTTGTGAACCCCCACTTTTCTGTGATCTTCATGTCCCTGTTAAACATGATACTGCTGTACTGGACGCAGGGTAATTTTTTGGCTCATTGTTTTGGGAAAAATCTGCATCCATTAGGCTGGCACATGCAGCATATATTCCAAGCAGGGTGCCATAAAAAAGAGAGTGACAGAGGAGGAGGTTAAAATTGTTTTCAAAATTTTTGATTCTATTGCATTTACTTGATTCTTTCATAAAATTAACTTTTATTTTTACATATATATTCCTACTGTAAATATATATTTTATTATATATATATATATATATATATATATATATATATATATACACACACACACATATAATTACATATATATTCCTAGTGTAAATATATTTTTTATTTTGATTTCAAATATACATTTTTTTTTTGCTTTTCAGCCTTATTTTCTGGAATGAGATCTATAGATTTTTTCTGAATATAAGACTTCCCATATATACTTGTGTATCATGTAACTTTTGAAGACCTAATTTTGAAGCTAATTTTAAGAGGGTCACATCATACATGAGAGATAAAATTAGCATATGTACTGCTGGCCCTGGCTATGCCATTGACTAATCTATATATCCACTTACTGTAGTCAAAAAGTACAGCTGTATTTAAAATAAACATGATTTTGATAAAACTGTTTTACTTAACTGTATCCAGTAGTAATACATGTAATATTCACATATTAGTATCATATTATAAAATACAAACATAGCAAATATGCATCTTTTCCATTGTTTAACTTTATAAGATGTTTAGTTGTTTCTTGTTCAGTTGTTTATGGCTGTACACATTTGGGCAATGTGTATAGCGTTACTAACAATACTTTTATCATTCTTTTACTTTTTTAACTTATTTAACTAGAGAATATGGGATAAAGAGATAGAGGAAAAAAGGTTAGTCCATTGTAATTTGGTCTCTCAAAAAATGAACTCGCATGATGCACGAGGTATGTAATAAAATCATTTTTTATAATTGAAAATTTGCGGGGGGAGGTCACACGGTAAGCAAAAACATGCATTATGTGAATATGTAGCATGTAGAGAAGTTTTAGAAGAACAGAAAAAAAAGAAAAATTCATTTTTCTGATTTATTTTGAAAATTAATGTCAGTAATTGTTTAAGAGAAATGATAATCCAGTTCAATAGCAATTATTGATCAAAGATTAATTAATTAATTAATCAAAGACTGAGACTGTTATGGTAATTTACCCATGCACAGATGAACTCTCTCAAGTTACAAATAAAAGCTACTCCCCAAACAAACAAAACCCGGACGAACAAACATTGTACCAAATAAACACTACCAACCCAGAGAGAAAGTTTTTTTTCCGGATGTTTCGGGAAAATAAATCTTTCTGGGAAATGGGTACAATTGACAAAAAAAAAAAAAATAGTAGGAAATATGGTTTACATAATTAAAGGTCCACTGTTTACTCACAAGACATATTTGAACCAAATCAGGAAATGCCTGTCGGACAATGCTGACAGCAGTCCGTCTGAAGAAAAAGAAGTATTGGATATCATTTACAATACTTTTGACATAACAATACCACAAGCAGCCCCAGCGCAATGCTGTTTAAAGAGAAAAAGGAAAATGACAGACTTTATCATCATTAATCCAAAAAGAAAAAGATATTAAGACTTCTGTGGAGTTAATATTTAAGAGGGGGATGTGTTATGGTAATTTACCCATGCACAGATGGACTCTCCAAAGTTACAAATAAAAGCAGGTACTGCTTTTTAGAGTGGGTACTTTCCAGCAGTCAGCTCTGACAGACTTAAAATTCTGGCTTGTTTGTATATGATTGTATTACTGTTTTTCTGTTAATATATTTGTTAACTGAATTCTCTTGTGTCTTTATTTCTGGCCCCAACAAGGCCACAACAGAGACGAAGAGAACAAATTCAATCTTCTGTTTAATTTGCTTCTTTTAGCAAAACGTTGAGGTGAGGATGACACAACCTCCTGCCAGCCTCAACATATGGTGGATATATTTATTACTTAAAATTATATGTGTAAAAATTCTCAGCCCCTTCAGTTTTGTAAACTAGAGAAAATACAGAAAAGAATGCCGTTGCCTGTACATAATAAATTGTAATTGTTAAGGCTATTCCCAACCCTACAGACCAACTGTGTGTTTATTATTATCAGAAAGTGTATTTACGATATTGACATGACTTCTTTTATCTAGTCCTGAGCATGACAACAAACTACAGCTGGCAGAAAGGTCTCTGATCAAGAGATTAGAGGTTTTGAGGCATGTGGAACTACATCTTAATTGCTGTTCTTCCCAGTTCCAACCTGACCCAGGGTGGTAGCACATGTTAGGGTCTCATCTATGGGTAAATAGGAACCCCCAGAAAAAAAAAACACTATCCAAGTATAAAAATACCTTTTTATATCAAAAATATCAGCAATATATTTTTATATAAAAAATGACCAACAATACATGTTCGCTATTCCAATATGCCTTCAGATTTCACGTTTTCCGTCATCTCTTAAAATACTTCCAAGATATTTATATTTTTGTACTTGTCGAGTAGGTCATATACATTCTTTTTATAGTTGATGGATAGTCCTTTCTTCCTGCTTTCTTCTAAATAAGATAAAATAGTCAAACTCTGTCAAATTTTATTTCTTACTTTTGAACAGAAGAAATTTTCATGTATTTTGATATTTTTTATATTTCATTAGCAGCCATACTTGGTTGGTTGATCAGAAAAAGCATTCAATTAGAATGGAGCAAAAACAGCATCATGTTTAGATGTAACAGAGTCTGTTTTCAATTCCTTTAAAGTAATTTTCATTAACAGAAGTAAAAACATTTTGACAATTATTTTGGAATTTATCAGTTGCTACCAGGGATGTAAAACAGGAAGTAATTTCTGAAAAATTTATTCAATTGAAAGAAACCAATATAAAATTACTATTTTTTGCTATTTACAGGACCATATATGGGTGGACTCAATTATCAAGTTAAATGACTGTAAACAATCAACTTATTGTTCACTACAAGTGAGCAAGAAGTTTGTATTAGACTGCTTGAAAAATGATTTTCATTTTTCAGTTTTCGCTAAAAAACACAGTAAGTTCGTGATGAAAACAGTTTTCATTTTTTTAAAACATGAGGAAAAACCTGTATTACCCGTGATGATGAAAGTAACATACTGAGTTTGAATGAAATCAGAGAAAAAAATTGAATTTATTGATTTTTTCAGTCGGCTTTATTGATTACTGATTTTTTTAAAAAATTATCAATTTTTATGCTAAGAACCTATCTCTCATTGTACCCAAGATTTTTGTCAAAATTGTTGGATGGATCTCTGAAAAGGTATCACACAGACAGACACACAAACATCCTCTGTTTATTTTGGATCTATCTTTATATATATATTCATATTTATATATATATATGATACCAGGGATCAAAAAGTTTGGCCTACATTTATGAATCTGTTTTGTTAAGTTTGATGAAAATTGGCATTGAAAAAACGAAATAAATTGAAAAATAAGAAAGAAACCAATAAACTCGTATAAATTTAACTATTTTTAAGGTTTTTAGGATACAGGTTTTTACTATAGGAACTGGGTGGACTTTAGAAATTTAGTTACCAAGTTAAATGACTGCACCCCAGAAAACAAACAATCAACTTAGCGTTTTTTGTTCACTAAAAGAAACATTGAGTGAAGTTTGTATTAGACTGCTTGAAAATTTAGTTTAAAATTTATATAGCTTGAAATCAATTTGTGTTGAAACTGATTTTTCATTTTTCAGTTTTTCCAGCTAAACACAGTATTGTTCAGCTCGTGATGATGTAAGTAACCTGCATACTGAGTTTGAATGAAATCAGAGGAAAAAATTGAATTTATTGATTTTTCAGTCGGCTTTATTGATTACTGATTTTTTTTAAAAATTATCAATTTTTATGCTAAGAAACCTATCTCACATTGTACTCTGAAATGTATGACTTTCACCCAGGCCGTAAAAAGTTTGGTCAAAATTGGTTGGATAGATCTCTGTTAAAGTGAAAAGGTATCACACAGACAGACACACAAACATC